AATTTTCTATTGATATCATATTGTATGTGTCCTTCAGAGGAGACATATATCGGATAATTTGGTGTTATCTTGCGTAGTTCTCATGATTTTCAGATGATTGTTTTTGCATTCGATAGAGGAGATGCTTATGTATGCCATAGACAGAAGATTTTATCAAAGTTTTTAGTCTCAAGGTGTCATAAATAATTTTAAAATTAATTTAGCGCATAAAATATATTCAAATTAATATTCTATATAGTGTGAAGCCAATATGATATGAGCTTATCCACTGGAATAATGAGCTAATTTTCATATATGGTAGAGAGAGGAAGGTCCGGGCTATAAAATGAGGTATTTTTGAACTAATTATCTCCTAAGCTTAATTAATCAGAAATTGTACATTAAAACTCCATGTATTTGTGTCTCTATTTACCTCAAGCGTACAAGTGAAGTGCCTCTAATTACCTCGAAGTATTCTATCTGTCATGACAAAGATGATTGTGTTGATCGTGATACTTTCAATTTCGATTTTTTATTCTGTTTTTTTAATTTTAGTTTATTTTTAGGTGAACGAATAGTGTTCTGTTCATCTTTCTTTTTACTTTTACTCTATGAATATGAGTTACTACTATGAACTAAACGGATAGTAACACAACCACTTACATAATCGAATATTTCATGTGCAGCAAAATTCAGACCTAAATCAAATAAATGTTCTTGACCAAATAATGTTGATAATGTTGTTTGGATTAATTCAATTCCTTGTTCAGGTTTATCTAATGAGTAGACTAAACAACCGTTATCCGTGCAATAACTTGCTTGCACCTAAAAAAAACAGTGTAATCCTGAATTGAGCATATGACTTACAAATTGATCAATTACATTCCACTAGAAATACTAATCTAGTAAGATTAGTGTTCTCTCAACCCGAATTATAATATCTATTGTATGAAAAAAACTCTTACATACTGATCCACCCTTTGCTGTTATTAAATTTTCACGTAAATTTTGTGCAACCAGATAAACTTTATCCAACCACTATAAAAAAAAAGGACGAGATTATATTAAAACAAAATCTTCTAAATCTTCACATCTTACATTATCTGTTGTCATTAACGTTGGTGTCGGTAGAAGCATGTATTGTTTAACAATTGATTGTTTACCAGGATACGATTGACCACTTTGTAAAATTGGAATACATGGAATTGGTAACGAATAGGAACGATTCTAAGATCACAAAATTATTTAATCAAAAATAAAATGATAATTAAATTCATCTACTTCATCATTATCAACAAATTTCGATATAGTATAAAATAGAGATGTTTGCTGTATTTTATTTGCTGCTAAACATGTTGCTAATGAAATAGCTGTAATGATGAATTGTCCTGGAAATGTTATAGATTTTGGATCATCCAAAACAAATTCAACTGTATCTGTTTTCGTCGCACTGAAGAAAAATCAAGATTAGTGTAATGGCTTACAATATCTAATAAACTCACGGTTTCTTGGCAGGTCCTGACTTTGGCGTTTTTTCCTCTTTTGGGCTAATCGCACGTTGTTTGGATTTTGGTTCATTTACTTTTAGTCGTTGTTCAGCATCAGGATCATTCTGTGTATTTTCAACTTCAGTATTTGTCGTTGATTGCTGTTCTTTTTGACGTCGTGTTTCAATTGCTATTTCATCTTTCAAATATTTCCTAGAAAACCGTTATTTTTAGAGGTTTTAGAGTAATAATCAAGGAGTACATACGATAATTGTTCGTCAATTGATCGTTGATCATTCAGATTAGCATCTCTTAAAATTTGCGATATTTTTTCTAAATGTATTAAAGCCGCGTCATATTCTGATTGTCGACGCCGATTATCTTCTTCTTTCGGTGTGATTATCGTTGTTGATGTTGTTCCTACAGTTGTTGTCGAAGTACTTTGATCATGACTGATTAGGGGAACAGTTATCGTAACGCCTTTGCAACACTAGAATGATTTCGAAGAGATATAAACACTGACGGCATAATTATGTTTACACTTACTTGTGATTTGTTCCTTAACTGAATAACTGTTTCTAATTGTAGAGCTAATTCACCTAGTTTATTCACTGATCTACTTGCTAAGAAATCATTAATTATCGGATTTCTACTTTGTGACAAGAAATAATTGGCCTATAATGTAGAACAAACTTTGCAAGCGAAGAGCGAGCAAAAAGAGTCTCAAATATACCAGGTAGCCATTATAATCATCTGGTTGATCATAAAACATTTCATTGAGTACATCCTCAAGTTTCGTCACTATTTTATTAGATGAGAAATAGTCCTGAGCTCGTTTACGAATCAAACGATCAGATTGAGGTTGAATACTATTGCTCGAAGAAGACATTTGTTTTATCTAAAATAGACTCTAAATAAAACAAAAAGCAGGGAAATATATAGTATCGTCAATTCAGATTAATTTTCAAAGTAAAATAAAACAAATATTGATCAAATTGATTTTTATCTATAATTTCATGTTTGATTCAGCATGTCTTTAGTCCTTTTAATATTGCGCTAAAAGACTGTATGTGTCTTTGAACAATATAACAGTTGTTCTGCGAGACAATATACGATAGATTTCTTGAAAAGGAGCTTTTCACAAATAAAATCAATACAAACAAAGAAACAATACATCCATTTTGTAACATTGACCAATGTAGGAGCTTTTACTTTACACGGCTTCATAAATTAATTAACTTTTTTAGAGACATGTTCGCAACTTAGTGTCAACCATTGATATCGTCCAATTCTGTCGTTTTCTAGTAATGCCTCAAACACTTTAGGATATCTGTATCCTGGAAACAGTTTATCCGCAGTAATCTGTGAAATTGTAATCAAATTGATAAAAGGATATATTCTACCATTTTCAGTACAACTTTTAATATCATTCTACCATCACTATATTCCTGGAGAAAGAATATATAACTAATTATGGCGCCATCTCTCAGCATTTAGATTGTCAAACTACACTCACTGATCCATTCGGTACTGTAGTACATGGTGTTTTAATAGTTTATCTGTGTGGGAAATGTTTGCTTTACACGCCTGGAACTGTTGTCACAGAATTACTTTTGAAATGCATGCGTGAAAGTTAGTAATAAATTTTGACTGCACCCAGAAAAGGAAAGAAGAAATGTAATTGTAGTATACTGAGTATATAATTAATAAGTGTGAGAAAGTAGAGTCATGTTTAATTAAAAAAATCCGTAGTAAATAACAACGTTCGCGAGACCGACGGGGATGGAGAGATGAGGAGATGACCCGCTCCAATAGCTGAAAATTTCTTTTTCAGAGCAAATCCATCTGAAATATCCCATCAATACGGCAACTTTCTTCGCTTCACTTAAGATATAATATTTAAGATATTCAACTTTTTTATATCTCATAACTACCATACAAAACTGTTACGTCGGAAAGAACAATGACCAGTTAGCTACTAATGATGGTGACACCATAACTAATGGCGGCCTCAGCAACCGTATAAAAATTTAAAAAAGCGGGTTTTTATAGTCAAAATCGAACTGAGAATGTAAGAAAATCTATAGGGAGTTGTTTTTATCAGAACCTAAGTTTAAAATACTGAGATAAAACTCAAACATCATTTTTAGAAGTTGAATATCTCATGAACGGTACATGGAACATTCTTCAAAGTTGTAAAGAATATAGTTCATGTCCCACTCAATAATAATAACCTTAAGCAGTTTGTCAAAAAAAGGGAGAACATGTTGTAAAATTCATCGCGGTGCTGATCAATTTGCTCTGAGAGTGGTACCGAATCCGATATTTTTGCTGGGAGAGTAAAAGTCGTTTTTCTCGGATTCTACATCAGCTATGAAGCCGGAAAAGGCAGTTTCTTACATAATTTGAGGTACTCTATAAACTAGATTGATCTTAAGTGAAGCGGAAAAACTTTAGTAAAACGTGGAACATTTCAGATGGATTTGCCCTTCACCAGTGTAACAGAATGAAGGCATTTTTTATATAGAGAGCTTTGCGGGATTTTCAAAAACGGAAAAGTTTTCGCTCTCCCATTTCTGAGTATCTTGAATCCTGGGACCTCGAAAACGGTGTAATTAATTATCTATTGTTTTGACCGGTTTTTAAGCACACTCTAAAGAAAACATGTTCTTCATGTTTTCAGAGAACGAGGTGAAGGCATCATTTAAGTTACTGGAAATATAAAGAGCTTAATATTAATTTTTCAATAAAATATGAGTTTTTTACTTATTTCAGTTTTCCGACTCATTTTAGTTCTTCATAATTTTTTTTTTCCAAGATTTGGAAAACACAATATTTCAATAGAAAAATCTGTTGGAGTCAAACAAATGGATAACGGATAGCTCTCAGAGATCAGAAAGAAATATTTTGTCTAGATCTTTTTTCTGTCGAAAGAGACATTGTTGAAGCAACTGCAACAGAGGGTCAAACCTGATCATAAAACCATACGTCTGACAAGAAAAAAATCAGAAACGATTCTGATACTTGTTTTACCACGCGAAAAACACACGTCTAATACACAAACATTACAAAAAGCGCGTCCGGAAAAACAACCGTCTTAAAATAAGACGATATAAGTCGGCTGAGAATGAGTTGTACGCATCAGAGCTCCGTATGGACTTAGAATGCTGAGTCCAGTCCAGTCGGAGTACACGAAAAACAGTTTATTCAGTTCACGGACTCTAAAAAAAGTAGTCTAGTCTACAATACAAAAACCATGTTTTTTACTAATTATTCCTGGATTCAAGTGAATCCAAAACGTTTTCTCGAGACCGGACCAGTCCACGATCTTGAAACTTTGAGTACCATCTAGTTCGAGTTCATGAGCTGAAAAAGTTTTCAGCCCAGTCTATACGGAGCTCTGGTATGCATCATGTTTAATCAATCGTATTTCGATACCGATACGACAGATCGCTCTATTAGACCATGTTATAGACCGTGCTAGGAACTAAATACCGTCCATATAAATTTATGCGGTGCTCGTAGACTTTCAGAAAACGAAAAGGATTTCAAAGTATATATCTGTTTCAGTTCTTGATATATAACTTACAAATACTGAATGACAAAGAAAACTGGTGAATGATTTCTCTGCTTGTTGTTGTTTATAATATATTCAAGTAGCACATAACATCTATAAAGACTTACATAGTTAAAAAGGATGTCAAATATTAATCGAATGCTATTGTACTGATGAATTTAATAAAGTTTGATATAAGGCACTTTCGTATAAACTTGAAAATAGCGAAAAAGAAATCTGCTTTGTTTATTTACAGGTTTTTTGTTACACAATGAAGAATCAACGGGCAAATTCCGCAAAGGGGTGTTACTGGTTTCTTTATTATTTCTAATTTATATTAATGTAGTAACTACGTAATGATTTGAAATGCTTTATATCTCTAAATGTACACGTATAATGCATGTTTTTCGCTCGAAAATCTGAAATTTGGTGCATGTGTATATGACGTTTGTGTTTAGATATAATGAAATCATAGTTTTTTAATAAGCAAAAACATCATGGAGTACTAAAGTGCAATTACCTGAGCACTCTCGCATAAAATATGCTCCCTGTAAGTGTGAAAAAGTTTGTTAATATATCTTCTCACCACACCTCACTTATCCATTCATATTGTGGTACTCGATAGTTTTTCTCAGTAACACTTGTTTAGGCTCGCCGAAAAACTAAGATTTTCTATAAAATCCTCTTTTTCTTCATTATACGTACACAGTGCGATTAGATTAATTCTTGATTTTGTTGATACAGCAGAGACTAGTCGATATGGTTAACAAAACTTTCGCCCAACGCTGACTGATCGTAAGATTAGGAGTTAAACACCAACGTTACTGTCCGGTAACAAATACCTCTAAATTTAGCATGTCTTTATAGTTAGTGGCTCATTTCTGACAATTTGTATTTTTTAACTAGCTAGTTATGTTGTACTAAGGCTGAAGTCAAGGCTGGGCGAGTTCGGGGGGGCACCGAGTCCGAGTCTCGAATCCATTTCGAGTTCGATAATTTTTCAAACATTTTTGTCTGTCGTTATTTATATTTCTTTTCTCTTATGCCGTAGCACAACGCACTAATCAAGAACTTGAATTGATTAGATTCAAAACACAAAAACTCAAGTTCGAGTGCGAGTCTTTCGAAAAAATCTCCAGTCCGAACTCAGACTGGTCCACCCGTGAGTGAAGTTCTTTTTTGTCTCATTTTTCTGCTGCCTCAAACAACTCTGTTTGTAATCAAGAGATCTCTATTATTGACATAGTTTTGCTTCTCTACTCTTTCGTTGATTTTTTTAAAATCTTTGTGTTCTCTGTAATTAATTAATATGTCCCTTTGAATCAGAATTTTATACGTTAATCTTTAGTTAGTTCTCTCGGCTATGTTCGGACTATATTCTGCAAAGTAAATAAATGAAACGAGGTAGAAAAATGAAAACCTCTCCATTGGCTAAGATGTTCCAGAAAGGGTTTCAGAAATCGACTGTCTTGCGTTTTTTGAAAACGCAACAAGACCATCCGAATAGAACGTAAATTCAAATCTAAAAAGTGCATTAGACTCATCTTTCTATCTTCTAGTAGAGAATTTTTCTATTTATCTCATATTATAAGAACTATTCAGATCGATTTTCGAATGAAAATGAAAATTTCTAAAGATAGATTTCTGCATTTTTTCGTTTAATTGACCATTGTTTCCCAGAAAATCCGAAATATTAAGACTTTCGCTTATAATTCCATTATCTATACTACTAAGATTGCGAAAATCTCTCACAATTTGTTTGCCCGAATGACTGCAAATTCGTATCTTTTCAAAGTGATTAGCCAGAATAAATTCTGTTCAAAGAAGTCATATTTCTTCGACGGAACAGAAAGCTTATGGTACGTTCCTCACGAAGTACATTTATAAAAATTTGACGAGGTACGAGGCGATAATGAGGCAGGAAGTTTGCGAGGCAATCCTCGCGAAGAAGCTAAAGATAATCCATTGCCCACCTCTGGTCTGAATATGCCAGTTTCGTTCGAGTTTATGATTAGTTGTTAAAAGCCGTGTTATGATATTTTTTTGAATTCTTCTTGATGTTTTCAAATAATATAGAGATATCTTACCTTTATCATCTCTGTTGATATTTACCCACCTGCTGCTCTTCATATTTTATTATATTTTTCGTTTTTATTTCATTTTAATAATTCTTACGTCACAAAATGCCATTAGGCAAATTAATTTTTCATTTCTTTTTATTAGCGACCATTGTTGTGACTAAAACTCATTCATGGGGCGCAGTAGGTCATGCATTTGTCGCACGAATAGCTATGACATTTTTAACAGATTCATCTAAAACGTTCATCAAAGATATTCTACCATGGTATGTTTATGGGAATATGAGTATGCTTGCATCATGGCCAGATAACATTCTCTATCCTGACACAAATCCCGTTGGATATCTCAATTGGGACTGGTCAAAACCCCTACATTATGTGAATACACCCGATTACGTCTGTCAATATGTACCGAGTAGAGATTGTGTTGAAGACAACTGTATTGATGGGGCAATACAAAATTATACGAAAAGATTAGCTAACACGGCTTTAGATCATGTTCAACGACAAGAAGCTCTACAGTTTTTAGTTCATTATGTGGGTGATATTCATCAACCTTTGCATTCCGGATTTACATCGGATCGTGGTGGAAATAGTGTCAGAGGTAAGACATATGTAATCATTCTAATATTTGTCATCATTTTCTGACTCATTTTTTTTTTGTATGAAGTCGTGCTCGGTCGCGGCGAACTCATTGTTCTATATATACAATCTGCATGGTTACACATGTATGTATGACATATATAGGGCATTAGGTATCTAGGGTATCTTAGGTATTTTACTAAATTTTCCGAACAGGATCCTGATCAAGGGGGAAACGACCTCCTAAAAGGGTGCATACACTTATAAGTGACAATCATTTTAAGCGTCACTTAGGCACTTTAAGTGACACTTTAAGTGTCACGTTTATTTGCCTGTTTTGAACCAGATTTGAGCAGTAGCGGTTGCTAATTTTTCCTCGTTATGGGTAAGAAAAAGTAACAGATTTCACTTTTTGCCCAAAAGTTACATGTTATTGAATTTTTGTGTTGCTTTATAAAAAGAAGTCTAGGGGTGTGTTACAGGCCTTCCACATATAAGATGCGATGGTCATCCTCTTATCTTTCTCTTGGTCATACTTCTTTCTTCATCACACCACTTCATCTACTATTTTATTGTATCACTTCATCACTTTGTTTTAAATTCCCGTCTCTATGATTGTTACATAAATACAGCGAGAAAGGATGATTATAAGGATTAAAGGGTGATCCATAAGTTTGGGACCCTCTCTGTAAATTAACATTACCTATATGAAATACATATAATAAGATTCACCTGTTTTTTGAAAAATTTTCCCCATTTAATTCTCTACAAAATGGTATATAGGAGATGATCCTGAGAGTTGAGATGCCGTCGTAACTGAACCGTAATCGAAATGTCCAAGAAACGAAAAACCGCGTTTTCTTTATATGCGTTGTTTATATATTTTCCTTACTAATAGAGCTAAAGATATAAATCTACAGTAATAATCATTTAGTTGTAAAAGATTAAATGTTAAATGTTTGAGCTTTTTTGGATTGACATTAAGAAAGAAAAGCATTTTTTTTCCAGAGGGCTCGAAACTTATTGATCACCCTTTGGTTGCGGTGTTTCGATTGTTTTGAGAGAAGTGACATCAGAAATTTCGTATGTGAATCAAATAGACAAAACATTTCTCTTCAAAATGACACAAGAATGAGCCTAATTCATTAATTTGTGAGTGAGCAGCGTTCATTTTATAAACAGCTCTAAAATGCAGATCGAAAAAACAGAAAAAACATTCACAGGACTTTTGCAAAAAGCATTATTGAAAACACGAAAATAACGACAAAAAATTAGCATTATAGCCATTCGATAGAGAATTCCAAGGGCTACATTTTTGCCTGTTCGATGTGGGCATAACGCACAGTGCGCAACAACGTGGACATTTGAGGAAAAAACGAAAGTAAGATTTTTAGAGATTCAATGAGTGCTACATATACAACGATCGTGGCCTATTTAATGGTGAAAACATTTTGGCTCTAGTGCCTAAGATCATCGAGAAAAGTAAGCTGTAATTTTTAGCTCGGTTTGTGTGGCCTTTAAAAAATATTGCTCTTTCTGTCAACAGAACGAGCTTCGGAAAAAATAAAACACACATACTCTGAAAGCTGAGTTTCCAGGCTATCGATTAATAAAAAAAGCTTTTAATTTTAGTTAGTTTTTGGTGAGAAAAAAAAGAGTTTTCCGGAGACTAAGCGTTTTTCGCAAAAGTAATTTTAGTAGAGTTGGGGCCCTAAATTCCCCTGATGTCCACCGAAGCTGAAACTTTCAGAAAATATTCTTCTTTATATGATACGTCTGTGCATTTAGCCCAAAATAGCCCAAACGCTTCCCTGCAGAGGGAGAAGTTTTCCAAAACCCCTTGGTTTTCGAGGTAAAATCAAGTCCTCGCAGGTCAGAAACATCAGAACCAAGAACCAATTGTATATTCAAAATCAGCTTAAAAAACTGCGTCGAATGGCGTATAATTCATTGGATTTTGGACATATACTTTTGAATCTTATCGAATTCTTAGATTTTGGGATCGGCACGTAGAATTTTTTGCCCGAAAATTTAAAAGTCAAGACTAAAAATCATGAACTCTTCTAAAATATTTTTCTATAGATTTTCAGCGGTGCTCTTTCCAATGGAATGGTTTTTGAATTCTGAGAAAGTTTTTGAAGTGGTTTTGGGAGATCCGGTCTCTGAAAAACCCCTTGGAAAACTTTTTTAAAACTCGAAAACCATTCAGTTGGAAAGAGCGTCGTAAAAAACCTATAGAAAAATGGTTTAGATACGTTTGAACTGCTTTCAAAACTCATGTCCACGTGCTTAGTCAAAATTGTCCGCTGCGTAACGCATACATTAATGCTTATACTGACGAAATAACTTACATTCTTCGTTTTTGGGGCATTGAAAGTTTTGGAACATTTCGATTACGGTTCAATTACGACGGTATCTCAACTCTCAGGATCATCTTCTGTATACCATTTTGTAGAGAATTAAATGGGGAAATTTTTTCAAAAAACAGGTGAATCTTATTATATGTATTTCATATAGATAATGTTAATTTACAGAGAGGGTCCAAAACTTATGGATCACCCTTTATTATTGTAGCGTTTTTGGTTTTCGTAATGAATTAAAGATGAAGAGAGCCTCATAATCGGAGACCTCTAATAAGGTGTATGAGACCTTTTTTCTCGTGTACATTTTAATGCACATGCACGTGCTAGGGCTATTAAACGGGAAGCTAATGCCTAACTAATAGTCTTCCTTGATAATTGCCGTGTACAACTTTAAACGTTCGATTTAGTTTCAACTATTTTATTCGTGTCAAGTAAAATTATCAGAATTATGTATAAAAAGAAAAGAGAGAAAACAGATGAAAGAATAAGATAGAGACTTTAATATGAGTGAGTAGCATCCATAACCGAACGAACGATCAGTAATATAGAAAGAGTAAGACTGAAAAATCCATCGCCAGATTCATCTATACATATAAAACAACAGTAAAAGGAAGAGAAAAATAACTATTGTCTTGTCACTAAAGCGGCTGATCTATACTGAAAGAAATAGCTACATACCTAAAGGAAAACTTCCCCCGTTCAAGGAACATATCTTTCATTCATCCTCACACACTGAGACTTCAGTGAAAACTTAGTTGGTATTTTCTTCTAAGCTGTGCTATACTCATCCATTTAACATCTTAAAAAAATATTGGCAAAGGTCGACTGTGCCATATTTCTTTGTATTAAAAATAGTTAAAGAAGCATGTAAGTTTAGTTTTTTGTAAATACTGCTTACAGTTTTTTCGCGGACAGTTTCGATTTTTGTTGGCATTTGTAGATGCTTTCTAACTTTGTTCATTAAAACGATAAAAAAAGCAGACTCGTATGAACAGCCGCAGTCCATACATTTTATATTTCGGAACATATAGAGCTGAATTCTTTATTTTCCAGGAAGACAGAGAATTTGAAATGACACTTAATCACTTAAGCGATCGATACTTCAGAACTTAAACACTTAAAGTGACACTTAACTCCAAGGTGCACACACTTAAAGGCATATAAAGTGAGGTTTTCCTCCCTTGATCCTGATGCTTTGGCGAATTTTGTTAAAAAGAACATCAGAAAAGTTTCAGGTTCTCTTCTTGTTTGAAAAACCTGCAGAATAAATCGTTCAGTGCTATCTGGCAATTTACTAGCTATTACACTTTTCATTCAGTTGATCTTCTAATAATCTCACCCGCTTATTAGCACGTCGTGCAACTACTTTTCGAATTCACTCCCAACCTTTCCTCCGCCCCCCTCCCCTTCCGTCGCATACGAATAACCTTGTACGTGTGTCTGAAACAGCGGTGAAAATAGATTTTTCAAGTTATGATATCCAACAGATACCTTCGAAAGCCTTAAAAATCATCTATCTAAGATCCCTAAATACCTAGACGCGTCCATACCTAGAAGAATATATATGTCTTATACATAATTTACATACATATATGTTTGGTATATGAAGTAGAATATAATTCGCTGCGAACTGATAATGAGTCTACTATATTTGAGTTCGAAGCGAACTTATATTGTGCATAGTATGATTTGTGGCATAATTTTCTGATCATTTAGGTCATTTTTTCAACCACTCAACAAACTTGCACTCATTATGGGATAGTGGTTTGATTTATGAACGTGTTAATACCGAATTCAACGGAAATTCAGAACAATATTTTATCTATCTGATAAATTCGATGAACACCAATTACGTTCAAAACATCACCGAATGGTCAACCTGTTCACCAGAAGCTCAATTTTCTGCTTGTTCGGCATCGTGGGTACAAGAAAGTAGCAATTTAGTTTGCAAAACGATTTATATCGACGAGAATAATAATTTTATGAATGCATCATCAAATTTTACTCTCGAACAACGTTATTACAATCGAAATTGGCCAATAATGGAATATAGAATGATACAAGGAGGAGTACGGTTAGGGAAAATACTAAATTTAATCCAAGAATATGTGTCAGTTACTTCAAAGTCGTTGATTTCTCAGGAAACAAATGTAATCGTCATTATTGTTCTTGCTTGTGTTACCGGCATACTTCACATTTACAGCCTGATCTGAGACAGATCATCTGAATACAGTTTAAAAGTATTATACGTAAATATATTTTGAACAAAAAGTGTGATTTTATGTCTGTTTGAATAATAAAAAAAACGAATTATTCTTGAATTTAAGAGAAAATGAACAAAATAGAGCCTAATATCCTTCTAAATGAAGATAAACGTCTAGGAAAAATATGAATTGTCAGAAAGAGAAAGAGATTGATTATAAGAAAACGTGTGACGAGTGAGTTATATTGCAAAATAAACAAAGTAGAGTGAAGTGAGACAAATCGGTATGATATTTCTATATCTCATGATTTTATTTGTTCAACTTTACAGAAAATCTGTTGGAGTCAAACAAATGGATAACGGATAGCTCTCAGAGATCTGAAAGAAATAATTTTTTTACATCTTTTTTCTGTCGAAAGAGACATTTTTGAAGCAACTGCAACAGAGGGTCAAACCTGACCATAAAACCATATGTCTGGCAAGAAAAAAAATCAGAAACGATTCTGATACTTGTTTTAACACGCGAAAAACACACGTTTCATACACAAATATTACAAAAAGCGCGTCCGAATGATAATTAATCTGGGTACACTGTAAAAACAATCGTCTTAATAAATAAGACGATATAACTAACTCTAGTAAAAGTTTTAAACACTTCTTAAAATTATCTTACTAAGATCTTATCCTTTAAGATTTTGACAAGATAGTCTAAGATCTTAATAAGATTTAATGACTTTACTTTCATTTACCCTTTTGTTTTGTTCTCATTCATCTATATAAGTAACACCGAAAATATGAGTAATTTTACGGTTATTTTTCTCTCAGATGATGATATAAGACGAAAATAAGACGATATAATTCGGCTGAGAATGAATTGTATGCATCAGAGCACCGTATGTACTCAGAATTCTGAGTCCAATCCATGAACTAAAAATATCTAGTCCAGTCCAGTCGGAGTCCATGAAAAACAGTTTATTCAGTTCATGGACTCTAAAAAAGTAGTCTAGTCTACAATACAAAAACCATGTTTTTTACTAATTATTTCTGGATTCAAGTGAATCCAAAACGTTTTCTCGAGATCAGACCACTCCACGATCTTGAAACTTTGAGTACCATCTAGTTCGAGTCCATGAGCTGAAAAAGTTTTCAGCCCAGTCCACACGGAGCTCTGGTATGCATCATGTTTAATCAATCGTATTTCGATACCGATACGACAGATCGCTCTATTAGACCGTGCTAGAAACTAAATACCGTCCATATAAATTTATGTGGTGCTCGTAGACTTTCAGAAAACGAAAAGGATTTCAAAGTATATATCTGTTTCAGTTCTTGATATGTTCTTGATGACAAAGAAAATTGATGAATGATTTCTCTGCTTGTTGTGTCTTAAAATAACATTTTTTCATCAGTCTTACAATAAAACCGATACATTCGTTTGTAAAAAAGAATATTTCTTTTTAGAGTTTATAATATATTCAAGTAGCACATTTGTACAGATGTAGAAATAGATCCAAAACATCTTATGGCATGAGTTATAAACACGAAAAATTTTCTCCTATATTAACATGGCATTGTTTGTAGTGATAGCCTGTTGAAAATATATCTCATCTGATAATTGTTGAAAAAAACAGTAACGTATATTTCTTTTTTTTTTGTCAAAGATTAATTCGCATTATTCACAATAGAATAGAGACGAATTTAACGGAATGAGAAAAGAAAACTTTTTATTTCGGTAATCTTCTATTTGATTTGGTAAACAAAGAACTTGTTCAGCGAACCTAAAATAACTTTTTGAGTCAACCATTGAAATAGATCAGCGTTTTCCAAATGGGGTTCCGTGAAGTGAAACCAAGGGTTCCGCCAGAAAAAAATAAGAAGATAAAAATTAATTTCACCACATAAAAAAAATTACGTAGTCTTAAATAATGTCAAATATTAATAATGTCATAATATTTGTCAAATATTATGTCAAAATACTACTGGGGTTCCGCAAAGTTTTAAATTTTATGATAGGGTTCCATGGCTAAAATAAATTAGGAAACGCTGAAATAGATAATGAAAAGATATATCCTTTGTCAATTAAACACTGATGACCTGATAGATTTACTGATGTTTTTATAAAAAAAAAAGAAGAATACTCATCAAGATTAAGTTTCAGAATATAATTTACAGAATGTATTTAATCGTTTAATAATTTATTGTCAAAAATCAAGTATATTAATATTCAATATTCGTCGAAGAATAAAAACAGACACACACACACACACATGACAAGGTTGTTTTACATGTTGAAAAACAAACAACACAAAAAGAGAGAAGTTTCATTGTTAATAAAGACAAAAAGACAAAATATAATACACATAAAAAAAAAGGTCGTAAATGTGATAGAAAATAAGTCTTTATCATTATCAGAAATGAAAGCGTGTCATACTATTTTTTGCACAAAAACAAAAGTTGTACAATAAAAAAAATCAGATCATTAGAAAAGAGAAAAGATTCTACTCCGTTTGTGGAATGTTTATTTATTTATCGGTTGTTGATACTTTTTGTTCAAAATGGAACGTACATTCTCATATTTTGGAAGAAACAAATGAAAATAAAAAGAAAATCAGGAATGTAAACGAGACGGTGAATTCAATTGAACATTTGCACTCATATTCGGATCACATTGTAATAATCGAACAATTGATGGATCACTCTTTGCACCTAAAGAAGGAAGAAACAAATCAGTGACAACTTTTTAAAATACATATGATTACAACGTTTTCGATAGAAATTTTAAAGGAGTAAAGGAAAGGATAAGTTTTACTGACGAGGGAACCCCACGAAGTGATTAAACGCTTTTTGCTCGGAATCTAGTGGGTTATAGGTTATCGATCATGCTGATTACGAATACGACCATGCGGCTTCCGCATAGCCCTTCGAAGATCTGGTTTTCTAGAAAACGAGTTTTTCAGAAACCCCAAAAAATAACCTGAACCGTTCTTAATGAGGCATGATTGTAGCCCGCACATTTCTGATTAAAATGAGACCTCTTCCAACTCTACATGACCTTTCTTTGCAAAGTTATAGAATTTACAAGAAAAGCCCTAAATGTTCATTGTTAGCTCAAAGCTACAGAAATAAGAAGAAATTAATTTAGGGCTCTTCGTGTAAATTCTATAACTTTGCAAAGAAAGGTCATGTAGAGTTGGG